GGGAACGAAAGTCCGATAGACTCTTATCTTCAATTAACCACCCGAAAACTGGAAGTGGCATTGTGGCTCAAGTGGTAGAGCACTAGCCTTGAGCTGAAGAGCTCATGGACAGCGTCCAGGCCCAGAGTTCAATCCCCATGACCAACAAAAAAAATAATAATAAGCAAGAAGGAAAACTGCAGGGTTAATATATCTATCCATCACACTTTATTCTATTAGCTGAGCAGATCATATAACTAAACCTAGAGCCAAAGACAGAAAAGATATGTTACTTCCTGAGCAGAAATTCCAAATCCACTTGACACACTAGGTGTCTACAGGAAGGGATAGGCCTCAAAGTCACTCCTCTAGCTAAAAACTTTCCGTGGTTTCTCAGAATGGCATACAACTTCTCAATAAGGAAATGTCTTCATGTCCACTATTCAAGTGTTCACCACCTTAGTGGATTTAAGCAACACAAATTATGCCCATAAAGATCAGGCCATCTAATGTCCAAAATGATTTCAATGAGGTTAACCAACATCCAGGGTCTGTAGAGCTGCATACCTTTGGAGGCTTCCAAAGAGATGGGAGGCCCACTAAAGCTCCGCTCACCACACACCACAAATACAGGCCTCGTTCCAAGGAAATCCTTCCTGTCTAATCCACTCCACAGTGGGACCACCTTCATCATCTTCTTCCTATCATTTAGTGCATGACTTTTGCCTATATTTGTCTGTACCCTATTGGGAAACTTTGGGAAAGAAATAAGTGGTTGGATCATGAAAGGATTTCAATACTTACAGATTTTTTAATCTAATATCCAAAATGCATGCACATTTCTTACTGAAATTAGCTAATGAAAAAAATAAAAGCCATTTCTTTCCTTATCATGAAATGAAAGGTTTTCTTTTTAATGTGATGGATCCAACTGAAAAGTCTACTGTACTTCCTTAGACCAGTGGTGAGAGAATGTCACTAAGAGAATGTCATGCAGTGATTAACCTGAAGTTGGCTCAGCATCTGTGGGACCAGGAACATGATGGGTACTTAGTCAAAACAGGGGTGGTAAAGGAGGAAAGAGATAAAGGATGTTTGTACAAGTTTACACTCCCACCAACAATGCAGTAGGGTTCCCTTCTGGTTACATCCTATCCAGCATCTATTGTTATTAGAGTTCTTGATTATAGCCGTTCTAACTGGGGTGAGGTAGCATCTCAATGTTTTCTTGATTTGCATTTCTTTTATGGCTAGAGAAGTTGAGCGTTTCTTCATGTGTCTATTGACCATTCTTATTTCCTCTTTAGAGAAGTCTCTTTTTAAGTCTTTAGCCCACTTATTAATCAGAGGAGTTGGGGAAGTGGGGAGGGAAGGGATGGTAGGGGAAAAACAAAGGAGGAGGTAACAATGCTTGATAGAAAATGTACTCATTGCCTTACTCATGTAACTGTAACCCCTCTGTACAGTATTTTCACAATAAAATTAAAGGTCTTGGGAAGCTATGTCTGTATTTGAAGTAACATGAACTGAAAAATGTGAAGAAAGAGAAATGTCACTCAAATATATCATTAAAGTGCCTTAAAATAAAAACAAGTTTCTGTGGCTCCCAAGTATAGTCTAAGAGCTTTACCAGTATGAACTCTTTTAATCCTCATCCTATAATATAGTCATCTCCACCTAGATAAGGAAACTACAATTTAAGAAGTGAAGTGCTTTACCTATTCACACAGTCACTATGCCACAGAGGGCTGTATTTTAAACCATCCAGATTGGTTCTAATCCTCTCTTTTAACCTGTAATTTTTCTGCCATTTTTACAAGAGAGATAAGAGAGGTCTTTGGACATTTGGAAGAACAGTGCTCATACACTGACCAGTAAGATCGCTCGGTAAAAGTAGAAGATGGGGTGGGGTTAACAGAGGGCAGGAAGGAATGTTTCCTTCTATTTTAAATGTGATGATTTTGAAGTAAACATGAGCAAGATGTACAAATGTCTGTGACCTGAGCTCCTGCAATCAAAGTAAGATGGGTTTTCCATTGCTGCTTTGCTGATAACAGACATTATGTGTTACATATTTTGCTTTTTAACTCCCTTTGCTTCTAATCTTTTGCCTACAGTTTCCATTTTACTCACACTCAATCTTGATGATCAGATTAGTACATTTCCAAATCCACAAGTCCCCTTTCTGAAGTTTATTAGAAGAGTTGGTTAGCACTTCTAATTAAAGGCCTCCAAATAAAATTAATCTCTTTTGACTGAGCTTTTCCCTTTAATATGATAATAAGAGAGCTCATTTAGACTACATTAAGGTAGCCTAAATTATATGGAAATAAACAGCATTCAGAAAAGGGAAATTGCTGTGAAAATTATATTCAGTAAACAAGAACAAAAGTATGTTATCCTGTTCAGGCTTTTATAACAAAATACTACAGAGTGAGTAGCTCATGGACAACACAAATTCGCTTCTGCAGTTCTGAAGGTCAGAAAGTCAAGTTCAAGATACTCGAAGATTTGATCAGGCTGAGATCAAGGTCTGCTTCCTGGTTGACACCTCCTCATATCCTCACAGAGTTAGTACAGTGAACAAGCCCTGCTGAACCTACTATACAAAACTAACTCCATTTATGGGGGTTCTCACTTCATGAGCTGAGCATTTCTCTAAATACAGCTTCTCAATTCTATCACTGTGGGGAATTGTAGTTCCACATACCAATTTGGTGAGGATACAAAGTTCAGACCATAGCATGAGATAGCTAAAACCCTTGAAAGATACAAACATGCCCCTCACCCTTCAGCAGACTAGTTAGGGTGTCCCCTTAGGATTTTATTAGCTTGTTTAATTAACAAACCTAAAGTGATGCAAGTTTCTCTCCTACAGGCTTTCTCTCCTACTTGGCTTTGTGGTATCAAAATACAAAGGTCAAAGAGAACATTTTTATTAGTCCCCTCCAGGGACTTGTGAAATAAGTATTAAGGTCTTTCTGGCAAAATGAACACATTAAACTGTCAGCCAAATTTTACTCAAAGGTTTCTACTTCAGGCCCATTGTTCTGATTCCCATGATCGGAGAACCTCATAATTATTCTCAGTATTCCAATGCGGGACCTTGTTCTTGGGCAAAATATTTTTTATTTGCAAACATAAATAAATAACTTGTTTCTAGTATATGTGATAAGGCAAATTATCTGCAAAGAAGTCTCCTAAGCCTATAGATATGAAGAATTCCTATCCCTTAGTCATAGAGACAGATAATGAGTTTCAAGATTTGGAAGACGATGAGAATTGGGTGACAAATCTTACTGGTTGGAAAATTAAATGATTGACTAAGACTTTTGTTTCTTTTTGCTCATTTGCTGAAATTGCTAAGTGTAGAGATGCTTTAGTTCTATACTTCCTCCACTAGCAGAGATGTCACTCCTTCTGGGATACAGAAACCACCAAGCATGCCTCTATGATAAAATGAAAAGCAGATCCTAAGGACTGTGATTTTTGAGAGGCAGGGACAGCTAACTGTCCACTAAAATTTGTACTCTTCTCCCATTAGTTAGAATTTCAGTGGCAAAAAGTTAATGTACAAGGACTGCCTTTCCTACCCTCCTTTGTATCTTTCCCATTTTGATATGATCATTTGACTAGTGATCATTAAATGAAATCCAACTATAAGTGACATGTACTTCATCCAGGCAAAACTTTTTAGAAAGCCTCTCAGCATCCTCAGTACCCCTCCTCCTCCTGTCCAGTTGCATTGGTTGTCATTGACTATGGTCCCCTAGAAAATGGCAGAACCAAACAAGAAAGAAGCCTGACACACAATCACTACAGAAATCACTACAAAGAATCACAGAGGAATTACTACAAAGAAAAGCTGTTCACTGACAATGAGTAAAAAAATACATATTGTGTTACTACTTGTTTAAATGTGACAAAATGTATTAAAGAGTGTTTCGAGCATACCGCACAGGTCTCTGCATTGCTTACGACTAAAGGCCAGCTGTTATTCTTTCCCATACTCATACTCATCTGAGTCTTCAATCAGGTCAGGAAACATGAGGACTCTGTTTTCCACCGCCCATCAGTGGCATGACATTCCTGTTTTAGCACCGAATGCTGTGAGCTTGTTAACTCCCAGAGAGTAGACAAATTCAAGTCTCTGAAGCTAGGAGTCAACAGGATTCAGTCCTGGACTATGAGAAATTCTTCGCTGAAGGCTTATTGTCCTGTACACATGCCTGAAAGGTGTATATGTTATGTTTCTTTATAATCAGAACTTTTAAATAATAAGTAAACAAATTAGAATCCAAATTTTATCAGAAGACCAAAGACAACAGAACAACATCACAAGGAAGTCTGCTAAGTGGACAGAAAGTCAGGGCCCACTCCAGGCTTCCGATTCAGAAATACCATGTGCACACCATCCACTGTGGTCCGTGTGCTCAGGGAAGTTGGAGAAGGGCAGCTTCATCTTCCGGTGGCCTCTCTTCTCACTTCCACCCCTTCCCCAAAGGGAAGGCCTAGAGGTATGAGTAACCAACTTACAGCCATGTTTGTTAACTAAGAAGCAGTTATTAAAAAAGAAATCAGTCATAAAACCTTTTTTTAGGTATTATATATGGGAGACTACAAGTGACTTCAAAATAAGTGACTTCAAAAAACAATTCCCAAAACAGGTTCAAACTAGATCTCTACAGTTTACCCTAAAGCTCAAAAAGCCACCACAGCTAGCAGCAGCCAGCTTTTTCCTTATCTTCTCTTTTATCCTATGAGGCTGATCTAATAAGTGAGGAGTCCATTCCATGCAAGTCTGGCATGAACCCAGAGGGCCATCCAAGTTTAGTTTCCTTTCTTCACTTATGTCTACTGTCCATAAAATTCAGTATGTTTAAATCCCTACACTATAATATAAAAGTAGAAAAAAGTCATACAATTCAGAATAAAGTGGGTTTTTTTTTACTTTAAGAGTATTCACCAAGAGACACAGTAAAATAAGTGCACTCAGAAAATTTCACACAGTGAGATGTTCCTTTACTTTTTTAATTATCATGTTCACCCATAGAGTCTCAGGACATCAAATAAGAAAAAGGTTTGGGGAAAGTCTACATTTACACCTACACTTGTAACAAGTACACTCATTTTTAAAACTAGAAACCACTTTCCATTCTCAATTCCTGGTTCCATTTGTTTCTTTCTTCCTATCCTTTTTCTTTTAAGTTATATCAGCAGGCATATGTAGAAGTAAACACATTCCAGGCAGTCAAGAGGATTGCTGAAAGATCTATTGCTTTTAAACTTTCAGGTCTTTCAGACAATTCAGTTTACACTTGATCAAAATCCTTCATGCTGGACTTCTTTCAAGTTCATTCCACTCCATGAGAGAGCATCATTTTTCAAAGAATGCTTAGTCAAAATTCACAATCTCCAGGATTTTGTCATCATCAAAATGAAATAGGCATCCGTGTCGATAGAAGCACTAACACCTGCATAATAGTTCAAAAAGTCTTCTTTTGAAACCTGAAAGCATGTGAAAGTGGGGAAAAGAAATAGTATCAAAATCTGTGGGTCATAGTAGAAAAGTTCACATGCTTTTTTGAGATATTTCCTACTGAATGCAATTGGCAACCAGTGATCAAGTAGAGTTGTGTCATTCAAGGCGTACTTGCCTTGCTTTCTCCCTCTAAGGTGGCTTTTTTACAAAGCCAGCCAAAGATTCCCCCTGCACCCTAACCAACTATATAACTCTCTACTCACTCATCACTTTTTGCAGTAAAATAAGATCTCTAGACTTCTACCATGCTACCCAATAAGGTGACTCTTAACCGTGGGTGGCTATTTAACTATGTAGTAATTAAAAATAAATATAATTAAAAACTCAACAGTCAGTTGTACTAACTATATTTTAACAGCCCATTACCCACATGTGCCAATGGGCTAGCATCCTACAGAGCGTAAAGAATATTTCCATCATCCTAGCAAATCCAATCATACTGTGGCTACTAATAACATAGTCAGTCATCTGTGCTGTAGGTTCTGAATCTATGGCTTAAACCAGCCTCCCATGGAAGATACTCAGAAAATCAAATTTATGTTCTGCTGGACCTAAAGAAATGGAAGAACATCATATACAAAACTCTGTCGTTTTATATAAAGGACTTGAGCATCCAGGAATTTAGTTACTTGTGTGGAGTACTGGAATAAATTCTCTGTAGATTAAAAGGGATGAAGGTATTTTAGGGGACAAACATAAAGCAATTTATAGCACAAATGTACAGAAAAGATGCTCTTTAGGGAGAGGGAATCTAGATCAAATATGTAGATAGTGACAAGACTAGAGAAAGGACCCTTCACAGAATCTCTGGCACCTAAAAATATAGAATCTATGATGTTCTATGGCCAAGTCCATAGGGTCTAGTGTTGTGGTAGGTACTGAAAGCCAGCTCTCCCATCAATTTGGGCAGAATATGTGTATTCCATTATTTAACCTGCGCTTTCCTTTTTGTTGTTCTTTTATTGTACAGGTTGTCACAGTTACATAAGTAAGATAATGAGTACATTTATTTTTAAGGTATTACCCCTCCCTCATTTTCTCCCATTTTCCTTCCCCAACTCCTCTCCCAGTTGTAAAGTTCTGTACATAGAGTCTAGTGAATATTGCTGTTCCATTGTTAACCTGTGCTTTCTATTGTTAACCTGTGCAATGGCGTTAAGAACAAAGATACAGATCCTTCACTCTAGAGATTACCCATTTTTTGTCTACCAAGAGTTTACTGCTTCCCATGTTTCACTTAAAAAGGAACAAATAGAAAAAAGAACAAATAGCTAGGTGCTGATAGCTCATACCTATAAATCTAGCTACTCAGGATGCTGAGATCTGAGGATTATGGCTTAAAGCCAACACAGGCAGGAAAATCCATGAGACTCATATTGCCATTTACTACTAATAAAAGCCAGAAGCAGAGCTGTGGCTCAAGTGGTAGAATGCTAGCATAAAAGCTCAAGAAGAGCACCCAGGCCCTGAATTCAGACCCCAGGACTGGCACACATACACACACAAAAAAGAACAAATGTAGCAAGAATCAGTCTGTAAGACCCTTCTCTCCCCTTCTAACCCCTCTCATTTCTTAAGACCAGCAATAGTTACACTACCCCCATGATCTAGAAGCACTCAGGCCGGCCTGCTGGGAACTTGGTGGGCTTGGGTACAGTCCAGCCCTGAAGGACTAATTTTTGGCTGTCAAAATAATGATTTATAAGTAAGCATGTTGTGTCTGTTTTAAATCATGAGAAATTACAATGTGAATAGGGCTTTATCATTTTCAAAGAAGATATTTGATCACCTGTAACTAAAACATCATTTCAACATCTTTAAAAGATCCAAATGCACCATTAGGGAAGTAAACACTAAAAGGAAGCAAGATATGTAACATGTTAAGAAGAAATATGATAAAAGGAAATGTATTTCACAAATACTTTCAAACAAAGCTAGATAATTCTCCTATTATCATGTTTGTTGTTTCCAACCTTAAGCTGAAGAGATTCTATGAAATCAGAATCACGCTAATTGCAAAACACAGTCTGAAAATGTGAGGGAATGACAAGTTGCATTTTATCAATTAAAACAAATCTAAACCAGGTGGGATGAAACATGCCTGTAATCCCAGGACTTCAGAGACTGAGGAAGGAGGATTGGGAGTTTGAGGCTAGCCCGTGATCCATAACAGACCTTGTTTTTAAAACAAGAAAGAAAGAAAGAAAAAGACAGTAGCAAACACATACCTGACCTGGTAGCTCAAAAATATCTCAATCTCTGATTCTTAAAAATGATATCCCAACTATTTCCATTAAGATACATTCTGTACATATGTATGTAAAATAGAACTAGATAAAGTGAGGGGATGGGTGGGATCTGAGACATGGAGAAGATGAGAAAAGGGGTGCTATTGATCAAGATGCATTGTGTTCAAAAAGTGACATGTTGAGTTTCCTGAAACTCCTTTGTGCAACTAGTTAAAGGTAATATAAAAATAAAAACGCCAAGTTCTTGCTTTCAATGCAATATAGCTCACCATAGAATCATTTAACACTTGTATCATAAGGTCTATGAAAAAATTTTAACCAGGCAAAATATTGTTTTGAAATCTATTTTTATTCAATTTCTACTTTAAAATAGTATGAAGAAAAGATTTACATATGGGAGTATTTCACTGTGCAGAAAATAATTTGAGCTACAGTTATATAATAAAATATCACTAACGATTGGGGTATGATTTTTGAAAAAGGTTCTAGGAACACTTATATTTATTGTGCAAATAGGTACCTCCAAGGATCTATAAATATATGAGTAAAGGGAAAAACAGCCCTATCAATTGTTGTTACTTTATTGAGTTACTTAGCAACTTGCTTTCCTTTTAGTTTTTAGTTTCAATGAAATAAAAGAGAATTTTCACTCAAGCACTTTCCAAATGACTTCAATTAATTAGAGAGAATTTTCAGTGATTTACAATATACACTTTTCAGCTTCAATAATCATCTTAAGTAAATGGATTTTTAAATGATATTGCTAAAGGAGATTTTCGATAGGACTAAGTATGAAACTAGTGGAATGGCACTTTACTTCCCAGTTCCCTTGGTAACACAAAAGAATGGTCTAGGCTTAGTAAGGTAATGTCAGGCATTTGGTAATAACCAGAGTCTGTGTAGCATTTTATCCCATCAACCTGGAAAACCTGAGACTCATGAAAGCCCTGGAGGAAACAAGCCATTCTGTCATCTGTCATTTTCTCTCTCTACTTCATGCCCCCATTCTGTGCTACGGTTCTCTCAGAATGATATCATCAATTTTTTACATGTGGCCTGGGCGTTTCCAGAAGACCAGTCATCAGCCCTTTCACCTTAAAGATCAAGATGTTCCCAAATCAATACAAATCTCTGAGTGTCAAATAGTAAGCTCAGTACATTCTATTATTAAAAAAATCAGAAGAATCGAATACAAAGGACAAAGTTATCTTTCCCTGATACAAGAGTAAGATCCATTAAACTGATGAGTAACTTATACTTTCCGAGGGTTCCAAGCCTGAGGAGCAACCTACCACTGCAGTTTTCAAAGGGAAACAAAAGGGCTCTGGAGAGGCAGGTGTGAGAACTAAAACAAGAAGAACATGCTATTCTCAGAGAGGAAGGGCTGTTTCACCACAACCTCCTACCACACCAACCAAGAAGGCAAAAAGAATGTTCACACCGTCTTCTCAGAAGCCCCATCAATCATTTGTTTATGTATCCTTTAACAGATTTCACCTATCATCTGTTTTAGACATATAACTTTAGATATTAACTTACTGAGCTTTCTATTCAAATACAAGATGTCTTTCAAGAATATGTAGCTTCTGTAGAAGTAAATTGGAGGAGAAAAATCACACTGAAAAATACAAGTTGTCAAACAGACCAATTGCATGGTAATCTACCCAACCCTTGACAAATTTGTTTTTGCTCTGGATCATATTATTTTCAAGACTTGGAAATGTTGCTGCATTTAATAAGCTGTTAATTTAAAAACCCTTGATACTTTTTTTCCTTTGAGTCATAAGCACGCCTAAGACTTGAAACATTGCTGTGCCATTCAATACATTCTTAACTTCAAAAAGCAGAGAATTATTTCAAAACTCAGTCTATAATTCCAAATTTGGAAAAATTGGAATTTGTATATTTTCCATTCTGTAATGAACTAAGTAGTTATGCAGAAATCTAGGATGTATACAAGGCAAAGGGTGTTAATAGGATTTCATGAAGCAGGAATAAGAAGGCACATACATATCATCCAAAAATACATGTATTTAATTTGATCTCTGCACTTGATTAGGTAATCATCACAACAGACTTTCTTTGTAGGTAGATTCATGCTGGTACTCTCCTGGTTCAGTGAGGCAATCTATACTGGCCAAGGGAATTGATTGACCATCAATAATTGTGTTTGTGTTGCCTTGAAAGAATATGTATGTTCATCAAATTTAATACACGTTTGCTCAACACAGGTTTGTATAAAGGATTCCAGCTCTTCTGGATGACACTTAAGGAAGAGAATTTTAGCACACATGATTCCCACCACCTTTAGCCTTCTTTCATTTATTAACAAACACAGGTTGTTAATTTGGCTTGGAAACTATTGTGTGTATTTCTTCTAACTCATAAGTCTGTCCTCACAAACTAAGAAAAAAGAGTATGTAGGACAATAAGTAGTTATATATAGGATGGATTCCAGCCTTTAAACCATGATGCAAGCCAAATTAATCATCAGCCTACATGGAAAGCACCCAGCTCCACCTTCAAGGCACTGTTAAGGTATGAAGGATGACTTCCAAACCAGACAGGGCAAGTACATTGCCATCTGGCCATGTTATAACCTGTTGGAGTTCAGATACTAGTACAAACCAGCTCCACAGACTGGTGAAAGAATCCTTTCTCGGTTTATAATTCAACACATCTTGGGTTTCTTTTTTGTACTGTGAATGGACTTCAGG